AATTTCCAAAACGATCACGCTGTACAGAAACAGTGAGAAACCAGTGTTATGAAATGACTACCATATAATAGCACGATAACTTCAGTTCACACAATGAAATTAATATCTTAATGAAATGAATGTTACAGACACAGTACAGTACAGGTATTTACACTGTGAGAACAAAAGGCCTGTTATTAATAAGACATCTTCAGACTATCAACACACAGTCGGTGCATGATTAAAATAAAAAGATAATACGATTGTTGAACAAAAGAACAACCGTCGGTTACCTAGTGGAAAAAAAATCGAATAAAATGTCAAGATAAATTTTTCATGGGGAACCTGGGCGACAATCGTCTACAGTACATGATCATTTTTAGACTGAAATACATTATTCAATAAGGAGAGCGGATGACTTAAGATCCAGAGTTTATTCTTTATATTTTACTACAATAAAAAAAGAACCCTTTGATGAATAAAACAATGACAGAGAAAAAAAAGTTGGAGGCGTTTTTTTGGGAAGAGTCTTTTTGAATGGATTCAAATCCCATTTGGGAACAGTATGTGCCCTTGCACTCAAACTATCTAATGGATCTTTGAGTAAAAATGTATCAGTATTCATATAAAAATCAAGTCGTTTGTGAAGGAAATACTATGTAATGAAATATACTGCACATATCTAATACTATGCGTTAACAATGTTCCCCATTTCCTAATATTCCTAAAACATACAGTACAGAATTGTATACATATATACAGTCAAAGAACAGAATATACAATGTGCAGTGTATTATACAACCCTACAATATAAAAAAAATGTATATAGTATGTCACTAGAAAATAACATTTAATGCAATAACAGAGTAGTTACAGTACATTCCATTGGAGGAGAAGACATTCCTTGTCAACCAATATTAATCATATCATTCAATATTGAATTTGACAAAAGCCAAACATGTTATAGAATTTGATACTATAATCAATTTGGTATAGCATAGGTAACGGTGTAGAAATGTTCTGGACAGGCCTGAGAACAGTTATAGATGACTGTGTTAGTGTGTTCCCCATAAGACGCACATGTCCATCAGTAGACCCGGGGTCCCTGTTGTATCGTAGGACAACTTGCTTCCTGACGTTTCTCCGTTTTTCTCTTTATGTCTCTCTTTCGCGCTCACTCAGTCTTTCTGTCTCCATGTCACTCTGTTTTTTCATTCTAATCATCTTCCATTCCAGATGAATGTCTCCCTTTCTCTCTCTGTAGCACTTTTCTCTAGCCTCTCTTTACATTTTCCATCGCTTTCTGTCTCTGAGCTTCTCTATCGCTCCGTCAGCTCTTCTCCTCGTTGGCGCTACGGCCTGTCTTACTCAGCACAGAGTTGAGTTCGTTGAGGAGGTTGGAGGGCATCAGACCCCCCTCTCCCCCCAGAACGGGTCTCCTGTTGGGGTTCTTGACGCCGCCCTGAGGGGCCTGGGGCTCTGGGCGTGAAGAGGGACAGCGCTGGGGCTGGATCACCCCCGCGGAACCCTTTCTCTGACCAGTCTCGGGAAACACGAGTCGGTCCTTCTGCTTCAAGCATTTAGCCACTATGGCTGTTTTGTGCTGGAGACTGCTACATTCTTCGCTATTGCTTGTTTTCTCCTCTCCAGTGGGAGGTGTGCTGTTGTGTCGGGACAGTTTTCTGTCTGACGGCTACGGGAGGGAGAGGTAGAGGAAAGGGTTAATCTCTTAAATATAATTAAAGTTATCTACTGTCTCATGATATGATGAGCTCTTGCCTCTAAGAGTTCAGCTTCCACACTATTACTAGAGCTAAAGGAGGGCTGATCAACAACCAAGAAGCAGTGTGTTGGCTTGATTCACTTCTTGACTAAATGATGTGTAGGACTGAATTCGTGGTGGGGAGATGATATGGAGACGTACATTTTTGCAGTTTTTTTGTTTAGTGTTCTGCGGACTCTGCTGGACTGCTGACATGCTTTTATGAACTGCAGGTCTTCCGTGATCTCTGTTCTTTGACCAGAGGTCTCCTCCATGCTGAAGACATAGACAATCATTAGTCAATACACTGTTCTATGTCTATAGTGATAAACTTCTTATACATATTTTCAAAAATGGTTGCAGAAACTATGACATTTATTCTGACAATACACATTCAAGGGCATTCTTCATTCAGTATGAGTCCACTTGGAGACGTTGGAGAAAGCACAACAGTTTCTCATTATTATTTGTTTTATCTACACGTTCTAAAACTCCTCTAACTCCTCATGATCTGATCTGACGGAGAATAATGGCTTTATCAACAATATCAAGTAGCATTGCTGCCGTTGTCTCTCTGGAACTTTCTCTGAGTATGTTTTTAAAGGCAGCGATACTGAGCCACCAGTTACGGTGGAGAGAGTGGAGAGTCGTAGGGTGATGACCTGGTGTTCCTGACAAAAAAAAGCCTGACCGCGCTTGCTCGTACTAAACTTTAACGACTTGTCCACATCCTGGTCACAGGCTGACCCTTTCACTGTTTTCACCTCCTCATTTAATCTGTGCTGTATTTCTCCACCACTCCCCAAAACAAAACAAAAAACCTAGACTTCCTGTGCCAGTTGCTATGGAAACACTTTCCGAAAGCCAAATGCCTGCTAAAAGGTAAGAGGAAAGAAAGCGAGAATAAGTATTCTCTCTCTCTCGCTCTCCCTCTCTTCTCTCTTTCTGTTCTTCTCACAAGTCCTGTGGAAGCTGCCAATCCCGATACTTAGCGGCTTTGAGAGAAGTCTAATACGTTTAGCTTGCTCTACTCCGCTATAGATTTAGTTGTTAGGGACTCGGAGAGCTGAGAGCAGAGAAAGGTCACTGTTGCTCACACTGACCTGGCCTTCCGGTTTAGATCAATCTTCGCTTTTACTGACAGACCTAAAGTAAGCACAGATGATGGTGGTAGAGAGTAGGTCACAATGAGATGACAAGGCACAAATAGGGCAACGGCAAACTCGGATTTCTCTTTGTGTAGCTATGAGATGCACTGTGTTTCACAACCTTTTCAGAATAGTAAGGATGAGTGCTGAGTTTAAACTCTGGTCTGGGATCCGAGGTTAGGACTTTGGTTTAGGATTAGAGAATACATTGGCAGTTGATACTGAAATTGAATTTGCAACATTTAAAAAGCTATATTTTCTCATAGTAACAAAATAGTCTAGCTTTTGTTTCTGTCTTTTAGTTAAAAAACTAAAATGAGACTGAAAATAACCCTCCCAACCCCTCTCTGAAGAGAATACTGAGCGAGAGAGAGAGAGAGAGAGAGAGAGAGAGAGAGAGAGAGAGAGAGAGACCTAGAGAGAGAGAGAGATACCCCCACCCCGAGCGGGTCAGACCAGACCTCTTCATTAAATAACCCCACAGAGCAACCCCAAGCAGAAAGTCAACTTCCCAGCACAGAGTACTACTCCCTCATTGAAATGAAGGATAAATTCACCCAGCTGGAGGTAAGGCAGGTGGAGCTGGAACAGCAGGTGAACACACTCCAGTCAGCACAGACCCAGACAACAGTCCAGCACAACAACACCCCCTTAACTAGACCTGGAGAGCTGCAGGTAGAGAGAGACATGTCTGCACTCTGGACTGTGGTGAGACAACATCAACAGGATAACTTTTTCCAAAACACAGAGTGTCTAAACTCTGGTGTCCAAACACCCAGCGCGCCCTAGACCTTCTGTCTGAGGACCAACTAGGATCACCCAGCCACATAATAATACACACAGGCACAAACGACCTGAGAACACAGCAGGAAAGGGTGGCCACAGCACTCAAGGGAGTGATAGAAAAAGCTTCTTCTACTTTCCCCAACGCACAAGTGGTTATCTCAACCCTGTTACCACGAAAATACTTCCACCCTGCTACCATACAGCGGGTAAACGCAAGTATTTCCCGTGACTGTGCATCAAAACCAAATGTCTACCTGGCCTACCACTCCACCCTGGATGTGAACAGCCTTTTTGACCAGGTCCACCTATACAAGGCAGCAGTGCCCACCTTCGCCCGGACCCTAAAGGATATCGCCCTCAACCGCAGACCCAACACCTCACACAGGAGCAACAGATCAACAGACACCCCGCCCAGACCAGCGAGACACTCCCCCAGACCTACAGGACCCCACCCAGGACCTACACATAGAGGACCCCTGCAGAGAGGACCAACATCCAGACCACAGCACCATCAGCCACATCTACACCCTCACCCCCACCAATTAACTCCCCCCCAAGTCAACCATGCCCACACCCCATTTAGGCCCCCTCAGATCAGACCTATGCTCCTCTTACCCACCCCAAGCCCCCCACTCCCACAAAGAGGGCCTCAACATGAAAGTCACACATACGCCCAGGCCGTGAGCAGGCAAACAGGCCCAACACCCACTCTTACACTAGCCCAAGCCAATGGCATGTACCAGATGCTCAGCAGGCTCTGCTCACAATTACTGGCCTGAGGCCAAACCACACAACCAACAACATAGACACTTTATGGAACACAAAGCCTTCACTATTTCATCCTGGAATATCCAAGGCCTGAGGTCATCTGCCTTTGGCCTAAAGAGCAGGAATCTGGACTTCACCAAAGAAATCGGAAATACAGACATTGTCATCCTACAAGAAACATGGTATAGAGGAGATGGACCCACTGGTTGCCCTCTAGGTTACAGAGAGCTGGTAGTCCCATCCACCAAACTACCAGGTGTGAAACAGGGAAGGGACTCAGGGGGTATGCTAATTTGGTATAGAGCAGACCTAACTCACTCTATTAAATTAATCAAAACAGGAACATTTTACATTTGGTTAGAAATTCAAAAGGAAATTATCTCAACAGAGAAAAATTTCCTCCTGTGTGCTACCTATATCCCCTCATTAGAATCCCCATACTTTAATGAAGACAGCTTCTCCATCCTGGAGGGGGAAAACAATCATTTCTAGACCCAGGGACATGTACTAGTCTGTGGCGACCTAAATGCCAGAACTGGACAAGAACCTGACACCCTCAGCACACAGGGGGACAAACACCTACCTGGAGGTGACAGCATTCCCTCCCCCATATGCCCCCCTTGGCACAACTACGACAACATAACCAACAAAAACGGGTCACGACTCCTGCAGCTCTGTCGCACACTGGGTATGTACATAGTCAATGGTAGGCTTCGAGGGGACTCCTATGGTAGGTACACCTATAGCTCATCTCTTGGCAGTAGTACTGTAGACTACTTTATCACTGACCTCAACCCAGAGTCTCTCAGAGCGTTCACAATCAGCCCACTGACACCCCTATTAGACCACAGCAAAATCACAGTCTACTTGAACAGAGCAATACTCAATCATGAGGCATCAAAGCCAAAGGAACTGAATAATATTAAGAAATGCTATAGATGGAAGGAAAGTAGTGTTGAAACCTACCAAAAAACAATTAGGCAACAACAAATGCAATCCATTCTAGACAACTTCCTGGACAAAACGTTCCACTGTAATAGTGAAGGTGTAAACTTGGCAGTAGAAAACCTAAACAGTATATTTTCCCTCTCAGCTTCCCTATCAAATCTAAAAATCTCTAACAGAAAACCAAAGAAAAGTAACAACAGTGATAAATGGTTTGATGAAGAATGCAAAAACCTAAGAAAGAAATTGAGAAACCTATCCAACCAAAAACATACAGACCCAGAAAACCTGAGCCTACGCCTTCACTATGGTGAATCACTAAAACAATACAGAAATAGACCACGGAAATTAGAAGGAACATCATGTCAGAAATCAGCTCAATGTAATTGAAGAATCCATAGACTCTAACCACTTCTGGGAAAATTGGAAAACACTAAACAAACAACAACACAAAGAGCTATCTATCCAAAACGGAGATGTATGGGTAAACCACTTCTCCAATCTTTTTGGCCCTATAACAGAGAACAAACAGCATGAAAAAATATACATGATCAAAAGCAAATCTTAGAATCAACTATTAAAGACTACCAGAACCCACTGGATTCTCCAATTACATTGAATGAACTACAGGACAAGATACAAACCCTCCAACCCAAAAAGGCCTGTGGTGTTGATGGTATCCTCAATGAAATGATAAAATATACAGACCACAAATTTCAATTAGCTATACTTAAACTCTTTAACATCATCCTTAGCTCTGGCATCTTCCCCAATATTTGGAACCAAGGACTGATCACCCCAATCCACAAAAGTGGAGACAAATTTGACCCCAATAACTACCGTGGGATATGCATCAACAGCAACCTTGGGAAAATCCTCTGCATTATCATTAACAGCAGACTAGTTCATTTCCTCAGTGAAAACAATGTACTGAGCAAATGTCAAATTGGCTTTTTACCAAATTACCGTACGACAGACCACGTATTCACCCTGCACACCCTAATTGACAAACAAACAAACCAAAACAAAGGCAAAGTCTTCTCATGCTTTGTTGATTTCAAAAAAGCTTTTGACTCAATTTGGCATGAGGGTCTGCTATACAAATTGATGGAAAGTGGGGTTGGGGGAAAAACATACAACATTATAAAATCCATGTACACAAACAACAAGTGTGCGGTTAAAATTGGCAAAAAACACACACATTTCTTTCCTCAGGGCCGTGGGGTGAGACAGGGATGCAGTTTAAGCCCCACCCTCTTCAACATATATATCAACGAATTGGTGAGGACACTAGAACAGTCTGCAGCACCCGGCCTCACCCTACTAGAATCTGAAGTCAAATGTCTACTGTTTGCTGATGATCTGGTGATTCTGTCACCAACCAAGGAGGGCCTACAGCAGCACCTAGATCTTCTGCACAGATTCTGTCAGACCTGGGCCCTGACAGTAAATCTCAGTAAGACAAAAATAATGGTGTTCTAAAAAAGGTCCAGTTGCCAGGACCACAAATACAAATTCCATCTAGACACCGTTGCCCTAGAGCACACAAAAAACTATACATACCTCGGCCTAAACATCAGCGCCACAGGTAACTTCCACAAAGCTGTGAACAATCTGAGAGACAAGGCAAGAAGGGCCTTCTATGCCATCAAAAGGAACATAAAATGTGACATACCAATTAGGATCTGGCTAAAAATACTTGAATTAGTTATAGAACCCATTGCCCTTTATGGTTGTGAGGTCTGGGTTCCGCTCACCAACCAAGAATTCACAAAATGGGACAAACACCAAATTGAGACTCTGCATGCAGAATTCTGCAAAAACATCCTCCGTGTACAACGTAAAACACCAAATAATGCATGCAGAGCAGAATTAGGCCAATACCCGCTAATTATCAAAATCCAGAAAAGAGCCGTTAAATTCTATAACCACTTAAAAGGAAGCGATTCCCAAACCTTCCATAACAAAGCCATCACCTACAGAGAGATGAACTTGGAGAAGAGTCCCCTAAGTAAGCTGGTCCTGGGGCTCTGTTCACAAACACAATCAGACCCCACAGAGCCCCAGGACAACAACAACAACACAATTAGACCCAAACAAATCATGAGAAAACAAAAAGAGAATTACTTGACACATTGGAAAGAACAAACAAAAAAAAACAGAGCAAACTAGAATGCTATTTGGCCCTAAACAGAGAGTACACAGTGGCAGAATACCTGACCACTGTGACTGACCCAAACTTAAGGAAAGCTTTGACTATGTACAGACTCAATGAGCATAGCCTTGCTATTGAGAAAGGCCGCCATAGGCAGACCTGGCTCTCAAGAGAAGACAGGCTATGTGCACACTGCCCACAAAATGAGGTTGAAACTGAGCTGCACTTCCTAACCTCCTGCCAAATGTATGACCATATTAGAGACACATATTTCCCTCAGATTACAGCGATCCACAAAGAATTCGAAAACATACCCAATTTTGATAAACTCCCTTATCTACTGGGTGAAAAACCACAGTGTGCCATCACAGCTGCAAGATTTGTGACATGTTGCCACAAGAAAAGGGCAACCAGTGAAGAACAAACACCATTGTAAATACAACCCATATTTATGTTTATTTATTTTCCCATTTGTACTTTAACTATTTGCACATTGTTACAACACTGTAAATAGACATAATATGACATTTGAAATGTCTTTATTCTTTTGGAACTTCTGAGTGTAATGTTTACTGTTAATTTGTATTGTTTATTTCACTTTTGTTTACTATCTACTTCACTTGCTTTGGCAATGTTAACATACATTTCCCATGCCAATAAAGCCCTTAAATTGAATTGAATTGAATTGAATTGAATTGAGAGAGAGAAAGAGAGAGAGAGACCCAGAGAGAGAGAGAGAGAGAGAGAGAGAGAGAGAGAGAGAGAGAGAGAGAGAGAGAGAGAGAGAGAGAGAGAGAGAGGATAGAGAGAGAGAGAGGAGAGAGAGATAGCTCGACTACCAGCAACACGAGAGAGAGAGAGAGAGAACCCGAGAGATGACTCCCAGAAAGGAGACCCAGAAGTAGAGAGGAGATAGAAGAGATAGAGAGACCCAGAGAGGAAGAGAGAGAGAGAGACCCAGAGAGAGGGAACAATTGAACGAGAAAAAGGAGAGTGATATTCTGCTCATCTGAAATATCTGTAGCTTCTCTCCTCTTTGCATTATTTATGGCAGCTGTGTGCTGTCAGCCACTGACATAAACAACACTTAACTATATGCTGTAGATGTAGGGACTGTAGTGTTCTGCTCACCACCAATGTAATTGTTACAATCTCCCTGACCTTATTCCAGCGACGGAGAATTTTGCACATAATGTGATTCATGTTATCGCTGAGTGACCTCGAAAACTTCACCGCACTTCCCCTTATTTATGTATTGTATTTCGGGGAACAATGATTTGGGAGAGTAAATATGATTTATCATATCTCGCTTGTTTAAAGATGCAGTTTTTTCCTGAGTGTTAATCAAACTATTTTTCATGGGAATGAGGATGGTGAAAGGAGAGGACAACAAACTATTCTCAATATGTATCATTGTCTTCCGTTCCAGGATTATTACGTTTCCATACACTTGGTGGAAAGAGACCATACATTGAAACAACATCCGTGCATCAAACTCTTACAGTACGTGCATCATGAGTGGGGGCAGGTAGCTCTGTGGTTAAGAGCGTTGTGCCAGTAACCGAGAGGTCGCTGGTTCTAATCCCCGAGCCGACTAGGTGAAAATCTGTCAATGTGCCCTTGAGCAAGGCACTTAACCCTAATTGCTCCTGTAAGTCGCTCTGGATAAGAGCGTCTGCTAAATGACTAAAAATGTAAATGAGTGATCATTCTATGTCAGAAGTGTTTTCCTTATAGCATTTCATCAAGCTGATTCGTCAATACTTTAAAATCTATATAACACAGTGAAACATTGACCATGTTGAACACACCCTTTATTGACTAAGAAGTTTCCCAACCCTTCTAATCATAGTGAATGTACCTTCATTGTGATGATGTCAGTCACCCAGTCTATTTGAGACTCCTTCCCCTCGCAGCAGAAATGCCTGTGGGTCAGAAAAATAGTATATATAAAAGTTACCCCTAACCACTGACCCTGGGTCAGATTTACTATACTGCCTAATGGTTAAAGATAGCATATGAGGTAAAGATCTGATCCTGAATCTGTGGTTAAGAGATACATACAACACAATACAATGATGGATGTCTTTGCTCAATGTCCGTTGTGGACCATCTGTAAATGACCTTTGCCCTCAATATCCCAACACTGGTGTGGGGCTGAGGGAAAATGATGGCTTCATTTTTAACACAGAAAAACATCAAATGTATCTAATCTGGTGAATAAATAAACTTCTTATTTTGTTTTGTCAAACTCTGATGGAAATGAAGCAGAGGAAGGTATTGAATTATTGAATTTGAAAACCAGTGAAAAGCACTCACCATTGCTGTTTATCTGTGTAGACGGTGAAACCCCAGCTATTAAAGGAAAGGGAGAAGATGGTTTAAACTTCGTGTTCTTGCAAACCTGTGACCCATACTCTGATGAAAAGTTGTTGTGGCATCTCACACGTGAATTCAAAAGAAAACAAGAAGTTGCAAACCCCTGAACTCGGATGACCAGGAAATATCTCAGGGCAAGAGTTCAGTTGGGCTTCTGTCTACTTTCATCAAGATATTAAATCATCGTCCTTTCAACTGCAGCGGTGACAAACACAACGTTCAGGATAATTGTTTTACCTATTAGACACCTCAGTATGCACTAGGAGTCAAGGTGTACACACACACACACACACACACACACACACACACACACACACAGGTCTGTGGCCACACGGTTAGTTCAGTGATGAGTATAGCTGATTAATCAATGATCCTATTCTAGAGCCCCCCTTGGGAAGGAGGAATAGATGGAACAGGGGAGAAGAGGGAGGATATGAATAGGTTAGGTAGCCTGTAGCCTGTAGCCTGTAGTCTGTAGTCTGTAGCCTGCAGTCTGTAGCCTGTAGCCTGTAGTCTGTAGCCTGTAGCCTGTAGCCTGTAGCCTGTAGCCTGTAGTCTGTAGCCTGTCTAAAGCCCTGCTAGCTAACCCAGCCCGTCTAACCTCCTCCAAGCCCTTTCTCAGGTCGGCACGTTCTTAATGATGTCTTAGCCTCTCTCTGTCTCTTTGACTGCCTCCATTCCTCCCACAGTCTCTCTCTCTTTCTCTCTCTGTCTGTTTGACTCCCTCCATTCCTCCCAGTCTCTCTCTCTCTCTCTCTCTCTCTCTCTCTCTCTCTCTCTCTCTCTCCTGACACAATCTTTCCTCACACCACCACTCTATTTCTCCTTCATCTCGTTTCTCCCTTTCTCCTTCCCCTCCTGAAATCCAATCACATCGTAGACTAATTTTTTCACTAATTCCGACGCTCAAAAAATTATGAGAAATGTTAATTGAGTAACATGATTAGCTTGTGCCTTTTTCCCCCTCCTTCAGCCCACAAAAAATACAGCTGGCTTGACATGAGTCATAAATTACAATAATACAAGATTAGGAAAATAAAATAAAGTGCCAGCAATATTTCTCCATTCGGAGGAAGCGGGCCAATAATTGCTATTTGTTAAAGCAGAATTTTTACTGAACAAAAATATAAATGCAACATGCAACAATTTCAAAGATTTTACTGAGTTACATTTCATATAAGGAAATCAGTCAATTGAAATACATTAGTTAGGCCCTAGTCTATGGATTTCAGATGACTGGGCAGGGGTGCAGCCACTTGGCAGCCAGGCCCACCCACTGGGGAGCCAGGCCCACCCACTGGGCAGCCAGGCCCACCCACTGGGGAGCCAGGCTCAGCCAATCAGAATGAGTTTTTCCCCACAAAAGGTATTTATTACTCCTCACTGTACCTGGGTAATGATCAGGCCGCTTAATCAGCTTCTTGATATGTCACACCTGTCAGGTGGATGGATTATCTTGGCAAAGGAGGAAATGCTCACTAACAGGGAATGTAAACAAATCTGCGCGAAACAAATTGAGAGAAATAAGCTCTTTGTGCGTATGGAACATTTCTGGGATTTTTACATGTGGCGTATATATTTTTGTTCAGTAATACATTTAATCAATGGTGTTATTGTGAGGGAGTTAGATGAGTGGTTTGGATAGCCATGGCGTTGAGGCACTCGGAACAAAAAGAGAAGACATTACATATTTTATGGACGAGGAACTCACACCATGAGACAAAATAACACAGTAAAGAAGACCAGTACTAATAATGATGAATCTATCTTAATAACACTTTTAGAAATATTATTTACACTTTCAGGCCTGTAAAACCCAATTTTTTGCCTCTCTGTGTAATCACATGAGTTGATTCTGTGTGCTGTTTGATAAGATACGATATATGTGATAAGTCTCAGTGATATTTACCTGGTGGGTGGTTTGAGCTTCCTCTTCAGGCCTAGATAACACTTGACTAACTTCAGTGGGACCTCTCTCTCTGGCTTAGTGCTCTAGGACAAACAGGAAGTCAGTCAGACAGGGGAAGTAAGCAGTCTCAACCAATCCAAATAGCAAGAGCATTTTTTGCAAAAGGTCTCCCTGTAGCTCAGTTGGTAGAGCACGGCGCTTGCAACGCCAGGGTTGTGGGTTCGATTCCCACGGGGGGGCCAGTATGAAAATGTCTGCACTCACTAACTGTAAGTCGCTCTGGATAAGAGCGTCTGCTAAATGACTAAAATGTAAAATGTCTCAAAAAGACAGGTAGTCTTCTGTAGTGGTCCTCTGTAGCTCAATTGGTAGAGCTTATAACGCCAGGGTAGTGGGTTCGATCCCCGGGACCACCCCATACGTAAAAATGTATGCACACATTCGATAACAGCATCTGCTAAATGACATATTATATTATATTCTTATAGTCCAAACATATGCCTTCCAAAAACTATCACTACCAGAGAATAATTGGATGGGGGAAAATATTGATACAGTTACATGTCGCAATATTATTTTTGTAGCGATATTTGACTTCAAGTATAGATAATAAATAAATAAATAAAAAATAAACCATTTTTCTATTTCATTTTGCTGTTGTAAGCATCGTTAGCTAGCGCTAGTCAGCTGTACCAGCACCAAACATCCTGTATTTTTCATCCTAAAGCTTGTTCTCCATCATCTTTTTAAATAGTGAGCCACTTTTATTTCCCTGACTGATCAAAACTCATTTATGACCCGTTTCAGGAAACTAGGCGTATGTCACACGTCACTACTTCACAGGAGAGGCATTTGAACGTAAACACTTTTTTAAAAATCAAAATGCGTATTGGGGCAGAAATGCCTTCTGGAACATGTGAACTTTAATGTGCCTTAATAACAAACTTGTATTCCATCCGTAAATACGAATAAAATGGTGAAATTACGAGCCTAGTTGGTTTAGTCAAGGAAAAAGACAGGGACCTTCCCGCTAGCCATGATTGGCTGAGCTGGACATTACATTTACATTTTAGTCATTTAGCAGACACTCTTATCCAGAGCGACTTACAGGAGCAATTAGGGTTAAGTGCCTTGCTCAAGGGCACATCGACAGATTTTTCACCTGGTCGGCTCGGGGATTAGAACCAGCGACCTTTCGGCTACTGGCACAACGCTCTTAACCACTAAGCTACCTGCCGGGAGATGAGTTTGGATTGGTCTGCCTCGTAGCAGGGGCCTCCTGTAGCTCAGTTGGTAGAGCATGGCGCTTGCAACGCCAGGGTTGTGGGATCGATTCCCACGGGGGGGCAGTATGAAAAAATGTATGCACTCACTAAAACTGTAAGTCGCTCTGGATAAGAGCTTCTGCTAAATGACTAAAATGTAAAATGTAAATGTACAGTGGGGAAAAAATGTATTTAGTCAGCCACCAATTGTGCAAGTTCTCCCACTTAAAAAGATGAGAGAGGCCTGTAATTTTCATCATAGGTACACGTCAACTATGACAGACAAAATAAGAAGAAAACAATCCAGAAAATCACATTGTAGGATTTGTAATGAATTTATTTGCAAATTATGGTGGAAAATAAGTATTTGGTCAATAACAAAAGTTTCTCAATACTTTTTATATACCCTTTGTTGGCAATGACACAGGTCAAACGTTTTCTGTAAGTCTTCACAAGGTTTTCACACACTGTTGCTGGTATTTTTGCCCATTCTTCCATGCAGATCTCCTCTAGAGCAGTGATGTTTTGGGGCTGTCGCTGGGCAACATGGACTTTCAACTCCCTCCAAAGATTTTCTATGGGGTTGAGATCTGGAGACTGGCTAGGCCACTCCAGGACCTTGAAATGCTTCTTACGAAGCCACTCGTATCCCGGGCGGTGTGTTTGGGATCATTGTCATGCTGAAAGACCCAGCCACGTTTCATCTTCAATGCCCTTGCTGATGGAAGGAGGTTTTCACTCAAAATCTCACGATACAATGCCCCATTCATTCTTTCCTTTACACGGATCAGTCGTCCTGGTCCCTTTGCAGAAAAACAGCCCCAAAGCATGATGTTTCCACCCCCATGCTTCACAGTAGGTATGGTGTTCTTTGGATGCAACTCAGCATTCTTTGTCCTCCAAACACGACGAGTTGAGTTTTTACCAAAAAGTTCTATTTTGGTTTCATCTGACCATATGACATTCTCCAAATCCTCTTCTGGATCATCCAAATGCACTCTAGCAAACTTCAGACGGGCCTGGACATGTACTGGCTTAAGCAGGGGGACACGTCTTGCACTGCAGGATTTGAGTCCCTGGCGGCGTAGTGTGCTACTGATGGTAGGCTTTGTTACTTTGGTCCCAGCTCTCTGCAGGTCATTCTCTAGGTCCCCCTGTGTGGTTCTGGGATTTTTGCTCACCATTCTTGTGATCATTTTGACCCCACTGGGTGAGATCTTGCGTGGAGCCCCAGATCGAGGGAGATTATCAGTGGTCTTGTATGTCTTCCATTTCCTAATAATTGCTCCCACAGTTGATTTCTTCAAACCAAGCTGCTTACCTATTGCAGATTCAGTCTTCCCAGCCTGGTGCAGGTCTACAATTTTGTTTCTGGTGTCCTTTGACAGCTCTTTGGTCTTGGCCATAGTGGAGTTTGGAATGTGACTGTTTGAGGTTGTGGACAGGTGTCTTTTATACTGATAACAAGTTCAAACAGGTGCCATTAATACAGGTAACGAGTGGAGGACAGAGGAGCCTCTTAAAGAAGAAGTTACAGGTCTGTGAGAGCCAGAAATCTTGCTTGTTTGTAGGTGACCAAATACTTATTTTCCACCATAATTTGCAAATAAAATCATTAAAAATCCTACAATGTGATTTTCTGGAAAAAAAATTCTCAATTTGTCTGTCATAGTTGACGTGTACCTATGATGAAAATTACAGGCCTCTCTCATCTTTTTAAGTGGGAGAACTTGCACAATTGGTGGCTGACTAAATACTTTTTTCCCCACTGTAGCATGCTTCTGTCTATAACGTGAGCTGTTCAGTATGTGTTGACAGTCCTTTCTACTGCACCGTTTTTGAACGATATAACAATAGCCATTGAGAACTACAAACGTTTTGCTACTTTTCTCAACAACTTTGATGCCCTGAATTTAGCAGGCGCTATCAACTGATCAGTTGGAAAAAGTGATGGGCTACATTCTGCACATGCCATGGGTCAGTGAGAACTGGAGTGACTTGACACAACGCTGGCCAAACAAGATGTAGCTATAAACAAGAAAGAGTTAAATGGTTCCAGTCTTCTGTGAAGCGTTCATCCATGTATACGGGTAAGAGTCTAGCTACATTTTCAGATATAATTTTCAAATTTTGTCAGAAAGTCGTTTTTATTGCAAGTTAAAGCATACTGTTAGTTAGCTAGCAAATGTTAACTTGCTGGCTCGCTAGCTAACGTTACATGTATGATCTGTGTAGTAATATTATTCGAATCAGAAATCCATTTGCATTGCTAGTTATAGCCTAATGTTAGCAAGCTAAAATTGAACCTAGTTTGTTAGCTTTAGCTACCTGCCGATTCATACTACAGCTATGACGATGTTTGTATTGGTAGTAGTATGAGTTGGGATTATGCATTTTCGTGTTTAGCTAGCTAGCTACATGTCTAAACAAAAGACTCCACTTCAACCGGATTATTACATGACCCATCAAATTAGCCAGGTGTGTCTGGGGGTGATTACGACCATCTATTGTATTTCATGAACATGTGTACATGTCTAGACAATAGTGACCCATCCACTTAGCTAGCTGTGGCTGGGGAGTCGTTATAGCATTTCCTTCACATGACCCATCAATTTACACAAGTGTGTCGGGTAAGCATCATCTAATAATGATAAAGTATTCATAAAATATTTTCATCTAACCACTTCACTGTACCGTTTACACCTTCTGTATTCTGTGCATGTGACAAATAAATTTAGATTTGATTTGATATAGCGTGTGTTTACCACATGGCCTCACATGTGAATACTTAAAGAGATGGGTGGGGCTAAAGCGGGTGTGAATGATGCTGAATGGGTGTAGACAAAGAAGAGCTCTCCAGTAGGTGTTCCAAAACATTCAAGGTCCATTTTCTCAAAAGTGGAGTTTCAAAAGTTTATCAACTTTCAAAGCAGAATTACTTTCTCATTTTCCCTCAACTGTAGTGTATGATATACAATTTTCTAGCTCTGAGTCTCTACTTTTATCCAATGTAAAAAAACACAATTTCAAATGTTGCTACATACGACCAAATCGAGCCGGTCGGTCCCATTTTCTCATGCTCTCTCCTCTCTCTGCAGCAGACATACTGTACAGTGAGCAATATGTTTGGAACATTGAATCGCAATAAAATCACAGTATCGAATATGAATTGTGAGAATCGCCATACATATCGTTCGGCACCTAAGTGTTGTGATACGTATAGTGAGGGTCCCTGGCAATTCCCGGCCTTTAGACATTACTCTCCTGCATGACACTAACCTTTCCCCACACTTACTTTTGCTTATCGCCGCATCACACACACCCACCACCACACAACACACACACACACACACGCACACACACACACACCACACACACCAACACCACACCCACGCACCCACCACCACACACTCACACCAACACACCACCACCACCACTCACCGCACAGCCACTCCCACACATGCACACTCACCCACCTCCACCACTACCACACCCCAACACACACACCACACACACATCCACTACCTACCACCCATAAACACTCCCCTACACACACACCTCCCCACACCACATCACACCCCCCCCACCCACCTCACCACATCCTAACACGATATAAATACAATTCGCCGACTGTATTTAACTAAATTAGCCACATTGAAGAGCAGCCTGATATTCCACTAATTAAGGAAATAACACAGCCTTCATTCAAATGCCACCCCCCCCCCCCCCCTTTTTTCATCTCTCCTTTCCCATCCCTCTATCCATCCACCTCCAGCCATTAATAACTAATCTTCACGCTCCTTTACAAACCACATCTCAACTGGAGCTCAGAGAGGGGCCTCAGGGGAGGCTGGCCCCACTGTGTTGTGTTCTGGTTCTAACATAAAGCCAGAGAGCTGGGGGGTAATTCACATTCTGGAACACTTCTCTGTCTGAGGTGAGTGTGTGTGTGTGTGTGTGTGTGTGTGTGTGTGTGTGTGTGTGTGTGTGTGTAAGGGTGGAGACAGTTTCCAGTTTCTTTAATACCCAAATTAAAAGGTAAATGGGATTGTGCTTCCCTTTCAGCGAATGAGGAGAACAATTGAAGGCAGAAAAGAGCCTAATTTTGTGTGTGCTGTAAAACAGTAATTAATTGCCAAACAAATGAAAATGCACAGGCAAATACAACACACACACACACACACACACACACACACACACACACACACACACACACAGACACAGAGACACACTCACAAGCCCACTCACTTTCATTTCTTTGTACAGTAGCAGCTTCTCATCTCGGAGGATGACATATCTGTCCTGGAATTTATGTCCAGAAAGCAGCTTGGACGACCCGTCCTTGAACTTCACCTGTTCCCCTCTCATAAACTGCTTTTGCTTTCTGCCTGAAGGTGAAACACAGCAATAAGCAATCAGCAGATATCCCCCCCCCCCCCCCCACACACACACTTGGAATATGAGAGATGGAAGGAACTCACCACAATTATGAATGCATGTTTGCGATTGTATGTATGATTTGCTGTAAGAGTCTATTGATGACATAGGGGTAGGGTATACTGTCATGCATCAACGTTAATTTGCTTTGAGGTTATAAATCGTGATGAGAACAGGTTGCTTGTTATAACAATGTTCAATAATAGGCCGTTTAACAGGCACAGGTGAGACAATTACTGTTCATAATGTAAATAAATCAATCTGTCATGTATTTCTACATTCCTTATACAAATGTAATAACACATTCATTAATCATTTGGTTCTGAAATTATGGAATGGATAAAAGGACTGATGCTTTGAGAGAGAGAGAGAGAGAGAGAGAGAGAGAGAGAGAGAGAGAGAGAGAGAGAGAGAGAGGAGAGAGAGAGAAGAGAAGAGAAGAGAGAAGTCACAATCTTTAATTCTTTGTGTCTATCAAGGTACGGTAGTGTGCATCTGTGTGGAAAAGAACTCTCTCAATAGGGAAACTGTGTTCATAGAAACAGAAGCTTTTTCGCTCAATCAGTGCCATTGTCAGTGTGAAATGCTGGTGTACAAAAGCTGATTTGACACCTTCTCAGCTATATTTTGAGCTTGGTGGTGCTTTCAGATATCATGGATCTAACTGCATGCTGTACCTGGGAAAGCATCTGCCATTTTGTCTTCTCCAAACTTTTTGATGACGAGGAAGGCGGAGCTGGGGTCGTCTAGAGTGCTCCACTCCAGCACCTGCTCCAGAACCTTCTCTTTGTAGTGCAATGGACGTTCTGTTCCAAAACACAAAAGACATCAGTGTGTTGTGTCTTCAAGTCAGTGTGTCGTGTCTGCAAGTCAGTGTGTTGTGTCTGCAAGTCAGTGTGTTGTGTCTACAAGTCAGTGTGTCGTGTCTGCAAGTCAGTGTGTTGTGTCTTCAAGTCAGTGTGTCGTGTCTACAAGTCAGTGTGTTGTGTCTTCAAGTCAGTGTGTTGTGTCTTCAAGTCAGTGTGTTGTGTCTACAAGTCAGTGTGTTGTGTCTTCAAGTCAGTGTGTTGTGTCTGCAAGTCAGTGTGTCGTGTCTACAAGTCAGTGTGTTGTTTCTTCAAGTCAGTGTGTCGTGTCTACAAGTCAGTGTGTTGTGTCTACAAGTCAGTGTGTTGTGTCTGCAAGTCAGTGTGTCGTGTCTACAAGTCAGTGTGTTGTGTATGCAATTCTGTAATACAGACAACAAATCAGTGTTTAATCTATAACCAAGTCTAAAACTATTTAAAGTATCTGGTTGTGTCTGCAAATCTGAAAAGATTACCCTCGCAGTTTACAAATGGTTTTTACACAATCCTGACCGATGTGGTTCAGCTGTACATTTTCCCAAAAACGACTGTACAATCTTCATTATTACTGAACTATAATTGTCTAAAATGCCATCAGGAAAAATCCATTATCAATAGGTTGTTGTTTTTTCTCCCCAACTTTTATAATTGTGTAGTTAAATTATCCTCTGCAAATCTGAACATGATTAGAAAACACACTCAAGTGCAAAATAGGCCTATTATCTCGCCTGCCTGACGTGTGAACAGGGTAATAGTACATGCCATCAGCTAAAATCACTTGTACCCACCTCCTCCGCCCCCCCCCCCCCCCCCCCCCCCCCCTCTATTGCATCAATCTCTGCACACCCTGTTAATAGTTTTTCATATCCGAGGGAAACAAAAAAAAAAATCCCGGGTGCTTAACATATTTAGAACAGAGTGGCTTATCTTTGCTCTGGGATCTGTGCAGACTCAGGCCAAAGGGATTAGTTACTCATTCTCACACCCCCTAATATTAGCTTCCCCAATCGCCAACCGATAACACTGTTTATCTATGGTTATCCGCCAAAAATGCGTAATTATCTTACACTTCCTCTTTTTTCCCTTTCCCCCCTTTATCGGTCGTGAGCATAAAAATGTGTCACAACAGCAGCTTTTGAACAGCTAAGCGATCTGGGATGTTTCAACGCAGCAGCAAATCTGTTGTCTCCAGCAGGGAACAATGCTGAACCATCATCAAATATTCACTATATTCACCGCATACCCCATTTTTTTTTCTGCAAAGGAAAAACCTGTCCTAGGTAACTTTGAGGGTGGAACACAATTTTTTTTTTTAAAGCAAACTCTCTGTGAACTGGTGAAAAGTACACAGAAATGCCAGCTAAGCCTACTATAACTATAATTCCTTAATTATTATTTATCATTATCCACTCCCACTAAATGCAGAGGTGTTACAGTACATTAATAACCTGAAGTCACGATTCAGTTTCCCTGGTTTATCAGTTTCCCTGGTTTATCAGTTTCCCTGGTTTATCAGTTTCCCTGGTTTATCAATACATTTTTATTTATGACATTAATTAAATCCCCATAGTATCATCAAAAGACTGACGATTAGCTAATTTCTTCACTTCTATAGCCCCGGATACTGGTTGGTTACTGAGATATTACTACAGACACTGGTTGGTTACTGAGATATTACTACAGACACTGGTTGGTTACTGAGATATTACTACAGACACTGGTCGGTTACTGAGATATTACTACAGACACTGGTTGGTTACTGAGATATTACTACAGACACTGGTTGGTTACTGAGATATTACTACAGACACTGGTTGGTTACTGAGATATTACTACAGACACTGGTTGGTTACTGAGATATTACTACAGACACTGGTTGGTTACTGAGATATTACTACAGACACTGGTTCATTACTGAGACATTACTACAGACACTGGTTCATTACTGAGATACTTCAACAGCCTAATCTTCTAATCATGAGGCCTTGAGATGAGGAAAATATGCCCCATTGTATGTGACCTGAATGAGAACAGCCTTTCAAACAGTGTCCTGGCCACCGAACACCCATCCATCACTAAATGGATATACAGACAGATGACATCCATCACTAACTGGATGTACAGACAGATGACAGCTCTGCTAGGAGAAAAGTTTGGAAAAATGGCCAGAGGGAATACGCGAAGACATTTCCCTTCTTCCCAATATTATTTACAGCACTGTCTGCATATTTCATTTATCCAACCTTCGCAATTAGTGAAACCACATGTTTTTCTGACTTCAGAAACTTTCCCTCTGGAGACATGAAAGAAAAGCTGACCACACAGAAGATGTGACCTTAGCTAAATGACCAGTTGCTAAACTCTTTTAGAGATGTCTTGTTGTCACATACCCAGTTCTCCGTTCTCTATGACCTCGAACGTGATCCAGAGGTCGACCGGGGTCGTGACCACGTTCCTCATAACCAGCGTGGACTCTGCCAGCTCTTCTGACCTCATGGTTGGAGACAACTACCATAACACAACCACAAAGATGTTAGAGAGAGGAAAGGATACAGTCACATTTTAGCAGGACTGGGGTCATTTCAATTTCAGTTATTTCAGTCCATTTCATTTCAATTCACCCAGGAAGTGAACTGAAATTACAGTACGAGAATTGCAGTGTCATTCATTTTCAATTAGGATTTTTTTCCCCATTCTTGAATTTAAATGTAAATTAACTTGCTGCATTGAATACATTCAAATAGAATGACTACAACCCTGCATATTAGCTATCCCCAACAGTTAATTAGGGAATGGAGTTAAGGTTGGGCATTTGTATCACTGTCAAAGATTTTCCATCACTTGCAGACTGGAAATGGAGAACACAAAACCCTACATTTGTTTGTGAAATAGTGATAGAAACTATTCTGTAATCATAGTGTAGAGGTGAACAGAAAGGAAAGACTCAGCATGACTAAAGAGAGAAGAAAATAAGTGTTAATGTTGTGTGAGTCGTAAAGTGAGTCGTAAAGTGAGTCGTAAAACAGTCCACTCTAACCTAACCCCCCCCCCCCCCCCCCCCCCCCCCTCCCCCTTCCACCCCACCGCTGTTCCACACCTGCAAAATAAGTCCATTACCTGCAGCTTACCACTACCACTGATTAAACGCAATTACTCACACAATTATATCAGAAGTGTCTTTGATTAGCTCGCTTTTGATTTATTCCGGTGGCAGTAATCCCATCAGGTTTAACCACCAACGTCTCGGCCCTATTCTATCACACCCTCCACCTCTCTCCCTCTCTCTCTCTCTCTCCCTCTCTCTCTCTCTCCTCTCTCTCTCTCCATCCCTTGCTCTGTCCCTCTAACTCCCCCAGACCCCATTACACACCCCTCCACCTCTCCCTCTCCCTCTCTCTCCCTCCCTCCAACTCACACACTCCCCCTCTTTCTCACCCCCTTGCACGCACGCACACACACACACACACACACACACACACACACACACACACACACACACACACACACACACACACACACACCTTTACCTTGATTAAGCAGCAGTTCTCCGGCTCCCTCCTCTCCAGGTACACCTCGAAGATCAAGTCCCCGGCCGGAGAGAACTAAATAGAAGGAGAGAAAGAGAGAGAGAGAGAAACAGAGGAGAAAGAAAAAACCAACAGTCGGATTAATTGGCTTTTGTTCTGAATTCCCACCTCGGTGTGGCCTGAGCCTAAACGGAGTGAACCAAGGGAAGCGTTAGATGATTTGAGGAGAGTAGCAGAGGTCATATTCTGAGCTACAGGCAAACTAAATATAGTGCTTTTAATTGATGTGATATTTTTCGCAGAATGAGGGAAGCAAGCCAGAGGAAGTCAGAGAGGTGGAAAGCGGGGGGTAGGGCTTCAAATGTAGTCAACGTTTCTGCCTAACTTTATAATACCCCAATTAAGTGCTCAATCTCAAATAAGAACTTGAGCTAACTCTGACCTTTTGTCGTGATTTGGAGTCAATGGAATATCTGTGTGGAAATCTGAAGCGTGCAGATCAAGGTTAGGACACTCCTCTCAGGATTTAGATATTATTTTAGATTTAACACTGGGACATGGTATTTTTCCATCTGTGAGAATCCAGTCTGTTCTATACCATTGAGGTAACATAGCAGGCTACATACAGAGGCTGGGGATACGTCCTTGGGAACCTGCAGACTATCACAGCTGACACTTCTCTCAATATCCCTTCAACCTTCCTCCGGCATTGTGAAACAACAGCAGAGAGGCCATTGGACACAAAGTGACATTTGACACAACGTGACATTGGACATAAAGTGACATTGGACACAAAATTATATTGGACACAAAGTGACATTGGACACAAAATGACATTGGAAACAAAGTGACATTGGACACAAAGTGACATATACATTATGTCTCTGTCCCTGTCCAATGTTCATCTTTCTCTCTTTTCACAACAAAAAAACTTTTTAAGATCAAGTTATCAAGAGCAAACCAACTTCTGAGACAAAAGTGAAAATTCTGCCTCTTAGGAAATGTTTTCTTCTCAACTTTGAACTAAACAACCTATGATGTCCTCAACAACGGTAAGCCAGAGGAAATAATGTAAACAAGCAGAATGTGGAAAGCTGTGGCATGAAGGTTATACTTGACGGATAGGTCTCGGGGAGAGACAAATGCAATGACAATGGCCAGGCTGCACAGTGAAAAATAACAAGTTGACATCGTCATTATAACAGGTAGACTCCTCGTTTGTTTCTCTGTGTGTGCGTACGTGTGTTCCACACCGGTAGAGATTACAGCCCACAGACAAAGAGCAATTAGCATGTTCTAATGTTCCATTAGCAGAACCAGGAAGAGGAAGGAGGAGACAAACACTGAAGAGGAGTTGGTGGAAGCTGGTGCAGGGAACGGCAGAGGGATGGAGGGGGGGGGGGGGGGGGGTACTGGAAGTAGAGAAGAATAAGGCATGAGGGGGGTGTGGTATATGGCCAATATACCACGGCTAACGGCTGTTCTTATGCACGACGCAACGCAGAGTACCTGGATACGGCCATTAACCGTGGTATATGGCAAATATACCACGGCTAAGGGCTGTTCTTACGCACGACGCAACGCGGAGTACCTGGATACGGCCATTAACCGTGGTATATGGACAATATACCACGGCTAACGGCTGTTCTTAGGCACGACGCAACGCGGAGTACCTGGATACGGCCAGTAACCGTGGTATATGGCCAATATACCACGGCTAAGGGCAGTTCTTACGCACGACGCAATGCGGAGTACCTGGATACGGCCATTAACCACGGTATATGGCCAATATACCACGGCTAAGGGCTGTTCTTACGCATGACGCAACGCGGAGTACCTGGATACGGCCATTAACCGTGGTATATGGCCAATATACCACGGCTAGGGGCTGTTCTTATGCACGACGCAACGCGGAGTACCTGGATATGGCCATTAGCCGTGGTATATGGCCAATATACCACGGCTAACGGCTGTTCTTAAGCACGACACAACGCGGAGTACCTGGATACGGCCATTAACCGTGGTATATGGCCAATATACCACGGCTAGGGGCTGTTCTTACGCACGACGCAACGCGGAGTACCTGGATACGGCCATTAACCGTGGTATATGGCAAATATACCACGGCTAACGGCTGTTCTTATGCACGACACAACGCGGAGTACCTGGATACGGCCATTAACCGTGGTATATAGCCAATATACCACGGCTAGGGGCTGTTCTTATCCACGACGCAACGCGGAGTACCTTGATACGGCCATAAGCCGTGGTATATGGGCAATATACCACAGCTAAGGGCTGTTCTTACGCACAACGCAACGCGGAGTACCTGGATACGGCCATTAGCCGTGGTATTTATTTTATTTTACATTTACATTTTACATTTACGTCATTTAGCAGACGCTCTTATCCAGAGCGACTTCCAGTTAGTGAGTGCATACATTATTTTTTATACTGGCCCCCCGTGGGTATCAAACCCACAACCGTGGCGTTGCAAACGCCATGCTCTACCTACTGAGCTACATCCCTGCCGGCCATTCCCTCCCCTACCCTGGACGACGCTGGGCCAATTGTGCGCCGCCCCATGGGTCTCCCGGTCACCGCCGGCTACGACAGAGCCTGGATTCTAACCAGGATCTCTAGTGGCACAGCTAGCACTGCGATGCAGTGCCTTAGACCACTGCGCCACTCGGGAGGCCCAAATTTCAGTTGGGCCTTGTGTGCAATTGACCAATACAGTGATCTTCATCTTTTAATCCCCGCTGACCGTCATAATGTGTTTAACCTTTGTCCAATTCACTTTTACTTACACACCTTTTTTAATAGTCAGCATTTTACTTTCCCCGTTGCTAGAGTAGAAAACGTTCATCCTACTTCCATTCTGTGGAATTTCCTGTGTGATTTGTATTCTAGAGGGGCAAGGGTTGTCCTGCTGGCTTTGACCTAAATGAGCTCACTGCCTGGCGCTGTTTCTGTGTGGGTTCTCTGCCCACGGTATCACTGTCCCCAATCTTACGTCACTACTCAGGACATTGAGCTACAAGACAGGTCTTCAATGGTGCTGCTCTTTCTTTGGCCATTTTATGTCATTTAGCAGACGCTATTATTTTATGTCATTTATTTTATGTCATTTAGCAGACGCTCTTATCCAGAGCGACTTACAGGAGCAATTATATGGGCAATATACCACGGCTAAGGGCTGTTCTTACGCACGACACAACGTGGAGTACCTGGATACAGCCCTTAGCCGTGGTATATTGGCCATATATCACAAACCCCTGAGATGCCTTAATGCTATTATAAGCTGGTTATGCAGCACGGAGTGCCTGGATACAGCCATTAGCCGTGGTATATTGGCCATACAGTACACCAACAAACCCCTGAGGTGCCTTATATATCATAAACTGGTTACCAACGTAATTAGAACAGTCAAAATAAATTTTTGGTCATATCCATGGTATAGGGTCTGATATACCACGGGTGTCAGCCAATCAGCATTCAAGGCTCGAACCACCAGTTTATAATTATGATTATAAACAGGTTTGAGCCCTGAATGCTGATTGACTGCAAGCCGTATACTCCGGTCTTCGATTACCCCCAACAGCACACATTTTTGTTGTAGCCCCGGACAAACATACCCGATTCAACTCATTTGGGGCCTGATGATTAGTTGACAAGTTGAATCCAGACAAAGGTGTGTTTGTCCGGGGCTACAATAAAACTGTACTGTTGGGGGTACTCGAGGACCGGAGTTGGGAACCACTGGCCTAAAGTAAGATGGCATTAGCTTTATGGGCATTTGCGTTGCACCCCTTGACATTGTGCATCTGAAGCAGAGAAAAGCTTAACTCACACACATTAATAATAATTTTGTCATTTAGCAGACGCTCTTATCCAGAGCAATTAGGGTTAAGTGTCTTGCACATCAACAGATTTTTCACCTAGTCGGCTCAGGGATTAGAACCAGCGACCTTTCGGTTACTGGCACAACACTCTTAACCACTAAGCTACCTGCCGCCCCACATTGTTGACATATTGTTCAGCTATATGGCTGCATTGGTATTGCATGCCATTATCAGCTGCAAAATGGGTTCACATGGCTGATATTCTGAACAAATAGTGACAATCAAATAATACAACACAGAAACACAGACAAATTAAAGCCAGATTCCCTTCCCCTCTTTATTGCAGGATTGTGATCTGTGATTAATCAACATCGACACTAGTTCATCCTGAATAATAGTTAAGTTAACAATGAAAACAAGTTTAAACACTTAACTTCAAAGAATCAACATTGTTTCATATCATTTCAAAGTGTACAAGTAAGCTAACAGGTTAGACATTTTAGTAACAAGTAGGCAGTTATTACCAGAGATGGCCAACCTCCCTCCACTGATCCCTGATCTACTGGGTGAGAAGACTTCTGTTCCAGCCCAGCAATTGCACACTTGATTATTAACTAATTATGTTTGATACATTTAATCAAGGTGTGTTAGTGTTGGGTTGGAACAGAAGCATGCACACCCAGCAGGGTTGGCCTGCTCCAGTTGTAATAGGCTTATACATTGTGTGACTTTTAAACTGTATTTTTGTTTACAACATTTGCTAACATAGCAAGGTATACATAACCCATGGTATACATAACCCAAGGTATACATAACCCATGGTATACAAGGATGCACTCTTATTCTCTTGGGACATTCATTGGGACCTCTTCACCCGCAGACAGGGTTTGACGGCTCTCTGTATCTGAGGACAGAAAACATCACAAAATAAACAGGCTGCATTATACTCAAATTAGACAGCACTGAATATTATGTTGCTATATCTCTCTGTCCTCAGTTTTTGTCACTAGGGACTGGGACTGGATAATATTTTCATAATGTCCTCCCACAAATGTACCTTCCCTATTCAGAGTAGCCTACTCTCCCTTCTCTGACAGCTGGAAGTGCTAACGTTAGCTAATTCTTTTCACCCTCTTCCACTGCTGTTAGCTAGCTACACATGCATTTGGAGTTACAATGATAAATACATCAAGATAACTAACTAGCTAATATGAAGTTAGCAAGCTGGTGATGTTTTATTTACTTAGCTAGCTATATAGTATGTAAAGTTAGCTAGCTAACTAGCGAGCATTACGTTAGCAGCACTTTTGAGTTAGCCTGCACACTAAGTTTCTGTAGCAAGCTAACTAATAATACATTGTTTTTTAAATTATTTTCAAAATATATTTCCTTGCTTGAATAGGTTCTCCCACTGCCTCCATTTTCTGGGTCCGTAGAAAAACTAAATAATGGGCAATCTTCCAGAAGTTTCCAGTGGTAGCAAAACGCAGTCAGCCATGTGGACGATTGGAGGACTTTCACCAGACTGACTGGTCTTCCAACGGTGCGGTTGCTAGGTGATTTGTGACGCAACTGCAAGCTCTCTATACCACACCTCATTGGGCCTTATTGCTTAATTATACCATGGCGTTGTTGAATACTCCTTTCTGATTGGCTTCAAGGGCATTCTAGAGGGTTCATTATTTCCCTACAACACACAGTATATTTGCACGGTAGAATTCAATGGCTATAGTTCATTTTTACATGTTTT